TCCTACCTGTATGCTGTATGATTATTCTTTAGCCTCCCTTGGAATATCCATGACTCAGGAGCTCTTTATCATGCCTGCCCCACCAAGCACGTAGTTTGCAAAGTGTCCTTGGCTTTTTTGTCCTCCCTGGTGCAGAAGCTGTCTTCTCTGATTACCTCAGTGACCCTTCCCTGCAGCCCGGCTGGTTTTACATACGCTTTTGGAGACGGAGCGGACGGAACTGCATCAGTCATCAAATCTGGTGCAACGTAGGTTTATGCAGCAACATCAAATCATGTTTTGGTTTCCTTTCCTTTCAGAATAGCTGCCAGCATTTGATTTGGCTGCTGCCGAGCGCTAAACTGATCTTCTCACAGAACTATCAATGATAACCCCAGGCCTCTTTCCCTGAGAGGTAATAGCTGATGGTGGCCCTGTGTGAGGCAGGGGGGTTGGAGCTTCATGATCCTTGAGGTCCCTTCCAACCCAGGCCGTTCTGTGATTCTGTAACTTTATACATACAATTAGTATAATTTTTAGATGTTCCTTGTTGACATAAAACCTCACCTGCCATTGTATCTGCTTGTTGTGCTGTGCTGTGCGATATTCCCCTTGTTTCAGGCACAGTTATTTGGGGTAACTTTGTCCTCCCTGTGAACGTTGTCACCTCACTGCTTGCTCTTTGTTCAGAGCTTGTAACAGTGTTAAACAAGTGATTGTGCATTCCAGATCCTGACCCGTCTGCTAGCATCTTTCCCTGGGGAGTTGCAATGAAACTGCTTATCCTGCTCAGGTTTGTTTGCTTGTTTATTTTCTAATGACCTAGTCACCTAGGAGGCTTCCTTCCCCATCCCATAAAAACTTGGCATCTTGGATGGGGAATCTTGGTGAATCTCCATGAAGCCGTAAGTGAAAGATTCCAGTTGAAAGTCTTTTGTGATGGTTTAGCCTGTTTCACAGAAGTAGAACTATGCCAGATTCTGTTTTCCTGGCGTTGCAGCGTTCCCTAGCACAGTGTTCTCATGTTGTGTTGAATGCAGTGTGAGCAACGTACCCAATTTTTTAATTATTGTGCAACGTTTTAAAGCAGAGTGGAAAAAAAAAAACACAAAAAAACACAGTGGAGAGAAAAATCCAATACGTAGAGCTGCGTCCACAGGATGATCATTAGTTACAGCTTTAATTTCAGTTAATATTAAATGTTAGCTTGAGTCTAACAGTGCTTAGCAGCTGAAAAAGCTTGGCTTGGTTTTACCCACCCACTGCTCTGCCTAGCGCTGTGCTTTGGCCGCTGTCCCTCAACCTCAAGAGATTAATCATTTCTGAGTACACAAGCTCAGGATAAACTGCTTAACTGACATTTTGGGTCTATTAATATCGTTCATTTTGTTTTGGTACGAGATGAATCAGAGCCACGCCACCAAGACCAAATTAACCAAATAAACTGGAGGGTTTTTTTTTTTTTGGCCAAAGTTTCCTATGTGTCATTGACATCAGAAAGGACCAACGCGTACCGAGATCCAAGCAACTCCAGAGCGTGAAAATCCAGGTCCCAGTCTGAAAGTGACTCTTGTTCTTGCAGTCTCGTTGCAAACATTTGGAATGTGCTGTTTTTCAACTCCTCAGCTGGTGGGATCAAGTAAAATGGGGAAGGAATATGGGAAGAAATAAATTTATATATTTATTTCCAATTCACTGGCAGAATTTATAGCTGCCAATGGTGTTGAACACGAGCAAAATATTTTCCTCAAAGGCAATCTCCGTGCATCTGGATGCTTCCATCTGGACTTCCTGAGGTGTTGCACTGCTGTGTGCAGCTCTACTGACCCTCCTTGCGCTCACCTTGTTCCTATCATGAGCTGAGAACAGCAGAAGAACCCAAAGCCCTTGAGACTTGAGGTGCAGGTGTTCCTCTGTGTCATCTCCTGCCAGGGCGGTCTGGCCATGGGATCCATGCTCTGACCCACAGGATCCATGCTCTGGCCCAGGCTTTTGGGGTGTTTCATCCCAAAGGAACTCTGAGCTCATCGGTGCTGTGATGTTGGCCATTTTAGTGGTGAGGCCGGAGCCTCTGTGCTAGGATGTGGCGTCCATTTTAGATGACCATCGCCTCAAAATGAATGCGGTGTGGGGTGTGGTGTCCATTTTAGACAGCCATCACCTCAAAATGGCCTCGTGCAGTGCTTGACTCTGCATCTCAAATGATCCCAAGAAGCATCTGGACAATGCTCTCAGTCACATGGTCTGATTTTCCAGGAGTTGGACTCGATGATCCTTATGGATCCCTTCCAGCTCGAGCGATTCTGTGATTCTATGGATGGGATTTAGGAGGATTTTCTTATTTTACAGTGTATCAGCCACAGAGGCAGCAATAACATTACTGAATTTAACAGCGCCGAGCTCTTGAGCACCACTGATCATATCTGGCTGCATCCACGTCCCTGGAAAAGAGCTGCATCCTGGAAGTTGTCCACAGCTGGTGCCAGCCCTGCCCCTGGGAGCCACCAAAAGGAGAGGGCTTTCTCCGGTTATGTTCCATTTCCCTCAGCAGAGGCACAGTGCAGCTGGCACAGCTCTCCCAGCCGACGCAGCTCACGTGTTAAAAAGCTTAATTCTCATGGGAGGAGGAAAATGTTTGGAAATGCCATGCCAGGGCTCCCCGATAGCCTGAAAAACCAGCAGGGTCAAGCAGAAGCCATCGAGCGTGTCTGTGGTTGCACAAGCTGCTTGGCGCGCAGTGTGCTCGCAGTTCTGGCTTTGGCAATGCCCTGCTCCTGACTTTTATACGCATGGGGCTGACGTGATGCAGAACTTAACTGTTACTGCCCAGGCCGTGTAACAGCAAAGCCCCCAGGCCAGCTGCTCCGCTGCTCTGTTCCTCCAGTGTTGCAATCCCATCGCTGATAATTCGGCTGGGGAGAGGTCACACACGTTGTGGCATGGTTTGTGTGCTGCTGGCATCGTGGGACAGAGCCAGAGCTGGGCACAGGAGTGGATCTGGGCAGCTCCTCCGTGTGCTGGGTTGGAGCACTGCTCTGTAGGTGCAGGTTGCTGTGCCGTGCACCCGGCTCCTTCAGGCACACGCAGCGGAGCCTCCCCCTCCCTGCAGCCCAAGCAGGGAGAAGCCAAGAGAGGAAGAGACACTCACGAGGTTTCCTTTTCTGCTCTTTGCCTCTTTATGCTTTTTTTTTTTTAATAAACTCTGGCCTGTTTGCTTTTCTTTTTTTCCCCTCCCTTCCTTCTCCTTGCTCATTTTTAACTCTTTGCTTCCACTCCCATAGAATCATAGAACCTGAGTTGAAAAAGACCACAATGATCAAGTTTAACCCCCTGCTATGTGCAGTCAGCAGGCTGCCCAGAGCCACATCCAGCCTGGCCTTGAATGCCTCCAGGGATGGGGCATCCACAACCTCCTTGGGCAACCTGTTCCACTGTGAAAGCTCTGCTCTTTCCTTTGCACTGCTAGCACAGCTTCAGCAAGCCTCAGGTATTCTCCAGGAACCTTGCTTTTTTTGTACCTTGCTTGTTCTTGCATCTCATCTTGGCTTATTTTGGGAGCTGAGAGAATCCAAGCTACTGAAATCATAGAATCACCAAGATTGGAAAAGACCTAAAAGATCACCCAGTCCAACTGTTCACCTATTCCCAATAGCTCCCACTAAACCATGTCCCTCAACACAACATCCAGCCTTTCCTTGAACACCCCCAGGCTCGGTGACTCCACCACCTCCCTGGGCATCCATTGCAGTGCCTGACCACCCTTTCTGAAAAGTAGTACTTCCTCATGTCCAGAAATGTTCCAAATGTTCCAAATGTGGAACTCCAAGCAATGGACACAAGCTGGAGCTCCTCTGTGGAGCTCTGTGTCTGGGTGGACAGTCCAGCATGGTCTTATTTGGAGCATATGATGGGGATGATTGGCTGTGTGGAGAAGCTCCTTTATGTGCAAAAGCTCTCTTGGGTGTGATGCATGAGAATGGTGATCCACGTGGGCTGGGTGGAGAGGAAGATGGCAGAGGTCTATGAAATTGTGGGTGCTTGGTGCTGGTGGGTTTTCCTTCTCTGTAAGGGTGAAGAAGTGAGAGTACTTTGCAGCAGCTGAAATCCCAGCCAAGCCTTTCTTGTCCAACCCTTGCGAGCTGGAATACCTTTCTGGAGGATGTTAGCAAGTCTCCTTACCCAAATCTCCTCCCTTCCCAAACTGGCTGGCAGCTCCATGAAGAGCTGTTCACCACTCAGCCAGTCCCAGTTCTTCCCCACCGCTTCATTCAGGATACCAAATTAATCATTAACCAACTTGTCCTTTGAGCGGCACGCAAAGAAAGCCGGTAACACTTGGCAGTAACACCGGGCAAGGCACAGCCCTGCAGCCTGCTTGCTTTTGCTAGGGAGTCACTCCAGGATCTGACACTGCCCTATCACTGCCTGTGTTGCATCTCTCAGGCAGCAATTTTAGAAGTTCTTGTGAATATTCCCCAAACAGCCCACCTTTGGGCTCCCCTTCATGCCTAATGTGAGCTTATAGGGGGATAACTGTATAGGAAGGCAGATGGGTATAGAGAGAGGCGTACGTGAAGGCAGGTGAACATGCAGCGAGCATGTAGGAATGCAGGTGTGTTTAGGAAGGTAGACATGCATATAAGGAGGCAGGAAGCTGAGGTGGTGAATGAACATATAGGAAGGCAGGTGAGTGTATAGGACAGCAAGTGAGCAACACCATCGTGTGCACTGGAAGTGATTATCTAACAGCTGAAAATGGGGCCATGCCCATATGTTATTGGGGAGCACTCAGCACACGGACACTTCTGGACCCTGCAGCACTGGGATTTCCCCCAGCACTGCCCCTGCAGTGACCGAGGGCACCTCTGGGAACATTTAAGAAGTGCTGAGCAGAGGGCTGAGTAACGTCCCTGATTTCCCCTGGCTCTGAGATCTCCCCAGATCTTGCACTGAAATGAGTCACCCCATGCAGCATGGCGCCAGCCATCGACACGTGAGAACAGAAACGTCCCCAGCTCCTGTGCCAGGAGTCACGTCAAAGGCGTATTCTTCTTCTTAGTTGTCATTTTTTTTCCTTTAAAGCAAAATCCCTTTCTGCTCCATCTGACTCAGCCCCAGCAAAGCCGCTGCTTGAAGCAGAGCAAAGTGACTGGTGACACAGGGAATTATGCTGTGTCCCCGTGGGATGCAGCTTGGTATTTTGGGGGAAAGCTCTGAGAAGACCCTGAGTTGCCCATACTCCATCAGTGCACGGTGAGCACCAAGCTGGTCCCAGGGGTGTGTGGGGACATCCCAGCAGCACACTCAGAACTCAAAGCCAGTGTCTGAGAGTGGTGTCCCGATGCTCCCTGAGCTCCAGCAGGTCAGGGCTGTGCCCTGGGGAGCTGTTCCATGCCCTCCGCCCTCTGGGGCAGAACCTTCCCTAGCGCCCAGCTTTTTCCCAGTGTCCAATCCTGAGATCTCTCCATCTCATCCTACAGGATGTCGAAGCGCTTCTCTGGCAGTGCTGGAGCCGCCTCTTCCTCGGGCTCGATGCTGTTGGGTACCGTGTGCTGTGGTGCCCGGGACACTTTGCAGACACGAGCATACACAGGTATGGGGCTGCCTGGGCTGCACGGCTCCTCTTGCACAACAAAGCACTGCACCGGGTCCCCACCGTCCCCATTGTCCCTATAGGGCTTCTCCAGCCCAGCACTGAGCTTCTGGGATTCGTAGCGGATGCTTTCGTAGATGGATCCCTGGGCATCCTGCACTGCGTTCACTGCGGGCTCTGCGGTGTCACCGGGCAGCAGCGGGAGCTGCCTGTGACGGAGGAAGTCTGGGGTCCTCAGGGAGGATTTAGGGGATGTGTTGGGGTGTGGTGACCCAGAGATGTCCGTGTTCCCCTCACTGGTGACGTCTGTCCTGCTGCAAGGCGATGCACCTACAGGGAAGGAGAGGGAGAGGCTGAGGTGGGGGAGATGCGTGGGGGCACCCCCTAATTTCAGGGTAAGGTAGCAATGAGGAAATGTTCTTAAATGAGAGCTTTGGTGCATTTCTTCCTGCCTGCCGGCTCTATCCCTTCTCTTTGGTTTTTGCAAGAAATTCAACAGAAAACAAAGGAAAACCCCATGCATCCCATGCTCCCCACCTTCCCTTGCTGCTCAAATATTTATTTAAGGAGGAGGTTCTGCCCTGTGCGCAGGATCTGTCAACAGCAGGAGATGGCAGAGAGGGTGCCGAGCCGGTTTGTTCACCTCCGAGATGAAGGAGGCTCTGGAATAGGTTTCCTTCTGCATTGTGAGCGTTCCTCTTCCTGTTGTAAAGCTGCAGGGACGTGGTGCTGTGGGACTTGGGGGGCAGGTTCCCTGCAGCAGGTGGTTGGGTGCAGGACCACAGAGAGGAAGTTGTGGGGTCGGAGCCATGACCTCCTTGCTGCTCTCCGTCTGAAACCTCTGCCCCATGAGTATCCCAGTGTGAGCATCCCAGTGTGGGCATCCCCACAGGACCCAGCACCAACACCCCAACGGGCTGTCCAATGGAGATTCCCCCAAAGTGAACATCTCAGTGTGAGCACACCAATGGGAGCATCCCAATGTGGGAAACCCAGTTTAAGCATCCCAACCTGAGCACCCCAAAGCGGGCACCCCAACGTGAGTATTCTAATGCAATCATCCGTATGTGATCATCCCAACCTGAGCACCCCCAAGTGGGCAGTCCAACGTGGGCATCCTCATGTGAACACCCTTAGTGAAACATCTCAAGCTGATCACTCCAACATGAATATCCCAAAGTGGGCACCCGAACCTGAGCGCGCCAGTGCAAACATCCCCATGTGAGCATCCCAAAGTGGGCACCCACTGCAAGTATCCCAGTGAGCACCTCAACCTGAGCACTCTAAAGTGAACATCCCGACTTGAGCACCCTGAAGTGGACACCCCAATGTAAGCATCCCAATGCAAGCATCCCGACCTGAATGCTCCAGTGTGGGAACCCCAAAGTTGGCACCCCAGTGTGAGCATCCCAGTGCAAGCATCCCAATGTGAGCACCACAACACTGAGTTTTCCAAAGTGGACATCCCATCATGGGCACTTGAAAGTGGGCACCCCAATGTGAGCATCCCACTACAAGCATCTCCACGTGAGCACCCCAACCTGAGCACCCCAAAACGGGTGCTCCACTCCGGGCAACCCCATGCGTGCACTCCTAACACAAACATCTCAAATTGATCACCCCAATACAAAGATCCCAAAGTGAGCATCCCAACCCAAGCATCCAAACAAGGGGAACCTCAGCGTGGGTAGCACAGTGCAAGCATTCCCAAGTATGCATCCCAAGAGGGCATCCCAACTTGAATATCCCAGTGCAAGCATTCCCATGTGAGCATCCCAAACGGGCGTCCCAATCTGAGCATCCCAATGCAAACATCCCAAGTGTGAGCACCCTCCAATGGACATCCCAAGGTGAGAACCCTAACATGCACATCCCAAAGTGGGGACCCCAACGTGAGCATCCCAGTGCAATCATCCCCATGTGAGCACCCCCAAAACGGGCGCTCCAGGCTGAGCATCCCCCCGTGAGTGAGCACCATAACACAAACACCTCAAGCCGATCACCCCAACGCAAAGATCCCAAAGCGAGCACCCCAACCTGAGCACCCCAAGGCGGGCACTCCAATGTGAGCAGCAGCTCAAAGTCCCGCAGAGCCGCGGCTCCTCCCAATCCTCGGAGCGAGCAAATCATTAACCGCGCCGGCAGCACCGCGCCACGGACCTTCGGACTGCGGTGGCACAGCGCGCACACACGCGTGCAATGCACACTTGTGTCTGTGCACGTGTATTTGCACGCCCGCGGGCATGTGTGCCAATGCAATGGCCGCGCGCGCACATAAGCGCGTGCACGTGCACATTTGCACGCGCGTGTTGCACTCTCAGGCGTGTGCAACGGTTTCCTCGTGCGCAGCACCCGTGCAGGTGGGTGGGTGCCCGTGGGGCAGTGGGAGCGCGCACAGCAGCAGGAGCGGGGGTAGCGGAGCGCCGCCGCCGCCTGTCCCCATCGCTGTCCCCGTCTCTCCGTCCCCTGCCCCGTCCCTACCTCCCAGCAGCGCTCCTTCCCCATCTCTGCAGTCCGGTCCCGACAGCGTCACCTGCAGCAGAAACGAAGAGACGCTCGCGCACCCGCCCCAGACTCTTGTGCAACACTCGCGCACGCTCACTCGCCTCATGCCTGCCCCCCATTGCGTCTCATTGCCCCCTATCGCCCCCCAGCCCCGCAGATATCCTCTCTGGCCTTTAGGGGTGCGCTGGGCTCAGTGCCTCTCAACCCCACGAGAGATTCTCCCCGCTCCCCCACCCCTAAGGCTGTCCCCACGTCCCCCTGATGTTTCGGGTTTGTTTTTTTTTTTTTTTTTTTGGGGGGGGGGATTCGGGACCGTTCCCGCTGCCGACGCTGGGGGGCTGTCCAAGCTCGTGCGACAGCGTTGTCCCCAAGGAGCGACGCGGCGACATCCGACGACGTCTCGTTTTGAGTGAAGAAAGGATTCATAGGGGATGGGGGATGTAGGGGTGCACAGCCCGTTTGTCCCCTTGTCCGGCTGTCCCCCGCAGGGACGGGTTGTTACGGGTGGGGATCGACTGTTAATGAGATGGGGACATTAGCAGTGGGCACACGGGGACAAAAAGGGGATGGGGACACAGAGCAGAGCCCCCCCGGCCGCACCGCTCTCACCAGCCCGGAGTTCCCTGCGTTGCTCTGGGTGGAGAGGCGTCCGCTCGCCCTGTAGAAAGGGAATGGTGGCACTAATGTTCCCATGGCCACGCTTTGGCTGAGCCAAAAAGCATGGCACAACCCCCATGGGGTGATGAGTCCTCACCAATCCCCCATGTGAGGGCACATACCTGGGGCAGAAGGCGCAGAGGAACAGCAATAGCAGGAACCCAATGGGTGCAGCAGCAGCCAAACCCCACGGCAGCACCGGGGCCATCGATGGGAGCTGGTGGGGGACGGGCACACTTCAGGATAGGTGCAGGGGTGACCTCACTCTGCTTCCAGGAAGCTTTTCCCACACAGATTCCATAGGAATTCCCATCCCTTGCTCCAACCAGGGCTACACAGCACAGTCCCCCCACAACTCAGCCCACAGTGGATTTGGTGTGATAGCAGTGCGGGCAGGGCCCTGTGCCCAGGGTTGGCACCCATGGGCCGTGGTGCCTGAGGGCTGCAGGAAGCCGTGCCCCATCCCAGGCCTGGATTGCTGGCATAGCTGTGCCGTGACACAGCGCTGTCACACCCCATGGCGCCCGGCTCACCTCACAGCTTTTGCTCTTACTCAAACACCCGTGTTTGGTGGCTGCTCTCCCCACTGTTGCAATGGGGAGGGTGGGTGAAAAAGGGGCTAGAGAGAGGGGTAGCATCCCACTGTATCCCTAGTTAATCCTTCCTGCATCCCTGCTACAACCTTGCTGTATTCCACTGCATTCCTGCTACATCCCTATTGCATCCCTGCTGCATTCCGCTGCATCCCACCATATACCTATTGTATCCTTCCTGCATCTCTCCTGCATCCCTGGATCCCGTTGCATCTTCGCTGCATCCCTCTTGCAGCCCTAGTGCATCCCAAGTGCATTCCCACTGCATCCCTGCTGCATCCTCCCTGAAACCTTGCTCCATCCCCTCTGCATCCCCACTACATTCCTACTGCACCCCTATCACCCTACCTCCTCACTGCATTCTGCTGCATATCTACTGTATCCCACTGCATTTCCACTGCATTTCCACTGCATCCCTGATTTATATCTACTGTATCCCACTGCATCCCTCTGCAGCCATCCTGCATCCCTGCTGCGCCCCTGTTGCATCCCTCCTGCACCTCCATTGAAACCTTGCTCCATCCCACTGCATCCCTCACTGCATCCCCACTTCATCCCTCTTGCATCCCTATGGGACATTTTCTGAACCCAGGCAGCCCCCCTCCAAGAAACACATTCCCACCCTCCTCCCCCAAACTGCAGCTCTGTCTCTCACCAGACCCCTGCCCAACACTGACTGGGGGTCAGTTGGGCTCTGCACAGGAAAGTTTCAGGGTGGAAACCCTGCAAAGAGAGCCTGGAGCTGCCCAACAGGCTGAGCCTGCTCTGCTGGCTCTGTGCTGCCCTGCCCGGTGCTGGCACCCTATTGTGACCCCCCCACCGTGTCCAGAGCACCCTGCCTGTACTGTGGAGTTGTTAGGGGTGAGTTGTCCCCAGCGTGGGTGCCCTCACCCCAGGGAGCTGGGTTCTGTGGGGTAATTGGTCATAGGCTGGAAGGATTTTTCTTCCAGAAACCCACTCAGTCAAGTACTCGTTCCTATTGGATGCTCCAGAGGAGCACAGGGGTAATTTCAGACATTGCCCATCCGTCCGAGCTCACCCTGCCTCAGTTTCCCCATCTGTACACTGACACCATCCTCAATGCACCCATGTTCCCCACAGCTCAGCCTCAAGGCCCAGGACCTCCAATACCCTTCTCTGTACCCTTCCCCAGGCTCAGAGACACTCACCCAGGTGCTGCTGGACCCCTGGGTGCTGCCGGCTGCTGCTCCACTCAACTTTGGCCGGGAGCAGTGGGTGGCACCCGTCACACCCCAGCTTCCTGCTGCTGCCTCACCCGGCCCCATGGAGCTGTGCCCTGGGCATGCGGGGAAACCCTGAGCCCCAACAGCACCAAAATCAGCAACCTCAGGAGGGTTCTGAACACCCATGGGGGGTCCTAACAGCCACGGGGTGTCCTGCAGCCCAGGGGAGATCCTGCAGCCCTAGGAGGGGTCTTGTGCCCCCAGACCCAGTGCTATGGGACCCCCCTGGGGAGCTGCTGGGAAGGGTTAAGCCAGGATCAGAGCCCCCAGGAGTAGTGCTGGATCCCCCCTTATTCAGGATCCACAGCCATCCAGGATTCCCTCTGCACTCTCTCTGTCCCCAGCCATCCTCCAACCCAGATCCCCTCCATCCTGGATCCCCTGTACCCATGATCTCTTCCATCCTGGATCACCCTCCATCCTGGATCACCCTCCATCCTAAATCCTGTCCATCCTGGATCTCCTTCATCCGTGATACTCCTCCATTCCAGATCTCCTCCATCCTGGATCTTCCTCCATCCCAGATTGCTGCTCTCCCAGATCACCCTCTGTCCTAAATCCACTCCATCCCAGATCCCTTTTGCAGTTCCAGGTGGGAGCAGCTCAGCCCTGAGCCTCCAGATAGAGCTGTCCCTGCTCTGTGCTGTTAAGATAAATTCCTCCTGTGACAAGCTCATCTCTGCATTGTCACTTCATTGGGATCCAGACACCGAAACACATAAAAAGCTGTTCAATGATGTTGGAAGAAAAAAAAATCATTTAATTACAAACTCCCCCCAACGTGGCTGTGTGTTCTGCTGCACCACTCAGATCCGTGACCCCAAATCATGGAGCTATCATCAGTACTATTTGGAAAATTGGAGCAATTTGCTCAGAATGCAATACATGCTGAAGCTGAAATCTGAAAAAGACCTGTCCCTTCCCTTCCCTTCCCTTCCCTTCCCTTCCCTTCCCTTCCCTTCCCTTCCCTTCCCTTCCCACTCCACTCCACTCCACTCCACTCCACTCCACTCCACTCCACTCCACTCCACTCCACTCCACTCCACTCCACTCCACTCTCCTCCTCTCCCCATCCTCTCCCCAACCCTTCCCCTCACCTTTCCCATACCAACACATGGGCACAGCCACAGCAAAGCTGACTCCCAAGAGGCAATAAACTCACAGCTCTCAGCACTGTTCCCAGTAGCATTCCCCCAGGAATATTTTGTTCATCACTCGAAAGGTGCCCACATGTTCTGCAGAGGGCAGCACGACATCGGTGTTGGACAATCACATCGTTCTCGGTGCCATTTCTGGGTGCAAATCTGTGCTGCCAAATCGCTTTGCAAAAAGTCTTCATGAAATCACAGTTTTTCTGCCTGGTTATGGGGACTGGGGACAGGGAGGTGGTGGGGTCAGCATCCCTGGAGGTGTTCCAGAACTGTGAGGATGTGGCACTGAGGGATGTGGGCAGTGGGCATGGTGGGTTGCCTTGGGGTTGGAGTGAGCGATCTTAGAGTTCTTTTCCAATTTCCAATGGTTCTATGATTCTATGATTCCCTTCCCAGGCTGGCAGTGCCTGACAGCAATGCAGCTCTGAGATTTTGGCACAATGAGCCCATGTTGGTATCCTCCAAACCTGGGAGCAGTGGTAGCATTTGACAATTCTGGCCTGCTGCCGTTTGTAATTAAGCCGTATGCCTCCAGCAGTCATTTGTCACCCTATTTTAAGCCTGCTGGAACTGATGTGCTTTTCTGACGGTCTTACTTAAAAATTTAATGACTTTTAAAATTTTCCATAAGGCTGAGATGTATTCGTCACTCGGCATCACAGCTGCACGGTGCTACCAATGCAATGCCACCTGCAGAGTTGGGTTTGCACCATGTTGGGCTCTTCCTCAGGGATCTCCCACAGCCCAAGCTGCTGGGCACCCTGCTCTGGGTGGCTCTGCTGAGGTAGGAGGGGACCAGAGGGACACAAGGATGCCTCCAGCCCTAAGCACCCTGGGGATCTGTGAGCTGGGTGCGGTGACGGATGGTCTCACTTTTCCACCAAAGGTTGGTGATATTGGTGATCCTTCAAGGCCCCTTCCCACCTGGATTGCTCTGTGACGGATCTGTCTTTGCAGCTGATTCAATGTTGGGAGCAAAACCCACCTAAAAGTCCTAAAAGTGAATGCCCCATCCTGGAGGTGTTCAAGGCCAGGTTGGATGGGGCCCTGGGCAGCCTGGTGTGGTATTAAATGTGGAGGTTGGTGGCCCTGCATGCAGCAGGGGTGGTTAGAGCTTCATGATCCTTGAGATCCCTTCCAACTCAAGCCATTCTCAGATTCTATGAATCTATGAATGAAAGCCATTCCCCTCCCATTTGATAGATAGGAAGACCCAACTGTACCAGCAAGGGCACAGCCTTTGAGCAGCATCACCACAGCATCCTCCACCCACGGATGCCATGCTGCGTGCCAGCATCGCCGTTCCCCCAGCCAGCCCCAGGCTCAGCTCCGTGCTGTTCATGCTGCTCCCACGTGTCTCGGTATCTCCAAAGGGGCAGGAATCACGCAGCAGGGTGCCTGCTTTGGGACTGCCCTCTGAAATCCTGCCCGGCCATCGGGGCTCCGAGCCGCCTGGCCAGCGGCCAGCAAAGCACTTAAGTGCGCACTTGGCTTCAAGCATGCAAGCCCTTCCAAACAACCTTAAGTGTTTTGCTGGATCCAAAACAAAGTCATTAGCACCTTGCAGCACTAAGCCTCTCCGGTGCATGTCATCAGCTGTCAGTGATGGGTAAACTGGGATTAGGGAGAAACGCTCCTGTATCTTCCATCATCTCTCCTGAAGGCTTTGCCATGAGCTCCTGTGGCACAGGGACGGCAGCTCTTTGCACCTCCTGCTTCTTGGGCTGCAGGCTGTTTGCGTGCTCATTGAGTTATGTGTGCCAATTTTGGATTATGTTTCTTTGGGTTTCCTTTCAAAAGTATTTATTTAACAGACCTCATTTTATTGGATGCCATATATTGTTAAGGATACTCAGATTTTTGCTCATTTTCTTTGGCCATTTCTGAATGCATTACTCTACAATTCTGTCTCTATGTATATATATAATATAGCATATAGACATTTCTCTGTTTCCTTCTTCGTCCAGGTAACAGCGACAGGACAAGAGGTGGTGGCCTCAAGTTGCACCAGAGGAGGTTCAGGTTGGAGATTAGGAAACATTTCTTCTCCAAACGAGCAGTGCTGCAGTGGCACAGCTGCCCAGAGGGGTGGTGGGGTCACCAAACCTGGAGATGAGAACAGCAGAGATGTGGCACTGAGAGACGTGGTCAGTGGGCATGGTGGGATGGGTTGGGGTTGAACTGGGTGATCTCAGAGGTCTTTTCCAACCTGAATGGCTCAGTGATTCTACAATTCTTTACACACACGTACGTATGGCAAATATGCACATGTACCTAAAGTCTTGGCACATTGGTATCTATGGCAGTTTAAAGCTCCCTTCTTTGTTTTGGTTCTTCATGAGATGCACACAAGTTCCCCTTTCTTTTTGGCTGCAAATTCAAAGGAACTGGTGGGTTTGGATCCTTCTGCTTTCAAATGCCAAAATTAAAATAATGCTAATGCAGCCCATTGCTTTCAGGCCCTCAACCAAACTGGGCACTGAAATGCAGGAGATATGAAATTTATGACTGATTCTAAGTTAATTAAACAGCGTAATAATTCAATGCTCAAAACAAATGGATTTAGGTTACAAAGCATTAAAATGAAACAAGGGGGCTCTCAGAAAATTTCAGTGCTTCTGAGCATTTCAGATCATCCTCCTCCCTGCAGAAACAGCAGATGAGGGAATGCCAAGCCATCAGAGTATCAGTTTTCTTAAAAAATCATTCTCTTCTCTCAGCAGATGTACAAAGCTTCACAGAATTTGGAATGGATTGGGCCACTGAATACTACCAGTTATGGATAGATTTTTCAGGCCCTTGGCTAAATTATCATAGAATGGCCTGGGTTGCAAAGGCCCACAGTGCTCATCCAGTGCCAACCCCCTGCTGTGTGCAGGTCACCAACCAGCAGCCCAGGCTGCCCAGAGCCACATCCAGCCTGGCCTTGAATGCCTGCAGGGATGGGGATCCACAGCCTCCTTGGGCAACCTGTGCCAGTGCCTCACCACCCTCTGGGGGAAAAACTTCCTCCTAAGGTCTAAACTAAACCTCCCCTGTCTCAGTTTAAACCATTCCCCCTTGTCCTATCACTATCCAGCCTTGTAAACAGCCGAGTCTCTCATAAAGCATACTAGAAGGGATTTATAGGGTGGAAAGCTTACTTTTCTCCATTTGGTGGCCATGAGTTCCCCTTTTCCTATTGAAGATCTGCAGTGTGATTCTGAACAGCTTCCAGGGATGGGAGCACATGAGCCAGGATGCCAAGACAGCCTATGGGCTACATGCAAGGCTCACCAACTTGCCCAATGTCCAATATCACCCCCAAGAAATGCATTAGGGCACTGCAACCAATGCACACCTCCATGGTTGTCAACTGACATCTACCAAAATCAGCTCGTGGAAAAGGAGCAGGGTATGAAGACACTGCTGTTCAGCTAAAATGCCATCACAGCCAGGATTCCATCGTGTCTCTCCTCCTTCTTCCTGGTTAAACTTTGTGTCACCAAAGTGCTGCTTAGCTTTGGCCCAGGATCTTTAAATATTCAACTTAATGCAGTATCAGTGGAAGTGTTAAAGCTCTCTCCATGAGATTGAAGCACACTGTACGTATGCTGGGGTGTATTTGGAGGTATGTAGCTGACAGCCCATCTCCAGCTGAGCCCTTGGACAAAGCTTAGCCCTGGAGGTGGCAGCTTCAGTGTCCATCCCCATCACATCCTCTGGGTTCCACCGTGGTCTCCATCCACACAAGACTCCCTCTTCCCACACCGATCCCTGCAATTTCACACCTTGCCACAGCTCCTGGGATTTTGTAGCATTTTGCAGCTTTCCAAAGAAGCCTCACTTCCTAC